TAAAATACAATCCTGAAGAAAACATAGCGTGCTGTTCACAGAAGAACCATATTCAGGAGGGGACTCAGGATTAGTAACTGGCAGTATTCATTTAAAAAACCATAAAATTTACTGTCTCTTCAGATACTCTTAAGCGTAGATCCTAAAGGTTTTCAAATTCTTCATTCCAGATTATGTTTGAGACGTTCAACGTGCCAGCCATGTATGTAGCAATTCAGGCAGTGCTGTCTCTGTATGCATCTGGAAGAACGACCGGTGAGTCTGTCTGGGCGCTGTATTTTCCACCTGTCCTTCTCTCGTGGATGTATATGCACATATATCACAGATATATGTTGATTGTGGTGCACCAGCTGTGTATTAAGAAGAACAAATAGCCATATGGAAACCGAATACTTCCCACCATGCTGTGCAAGTACCTCTTTGTTGTTTTCAACTTCATGGCAGGTATGGGTGCAGATTTACGACTTTCTGCTTCAAAAGCTCAAGTGACTACAGCTCAACTATATGAACAGATGAAAGACGACACATTTTGATACTGCCCTTAATTGCACAGCATAGAGAAGAGGCTGTATCTTAACTAGATTTTTCCAAACCCACGGTTCCTTCTCACTTTAGACCAACCTCTATTGTTAAGCTCCATTCACAGTAGAAAAAAACCCAAACCATTCAGTAGCTAAAGGAAAATATTTCATTTAAATGTTGAATTTCAATCACCTAATGACGTCCGCTGTTAAGCGATCATTAGAATTAGCATGGAGGTCTCTTCTTATTGCCATTTAGAGTCTGATCAGGCATTGACACGATAAATTACTTCTTAGCAACCCTTGAGTCTTCATATACTTTGAAAAAAATTAAAATACCATCTGTCTTCATAGCCTGATGCCACAATAAAATTTTGTATAAAAAGATCGCCAGCTTAGAGGAATTACAATTGTCATAAATACTTGTTTTATGTTTGAAATTAAACTATTTGTATGCATGTTTGGTATCAGAAATGTTTTATTCATTTTGAGTGGAAAACACATACTTCATTTCCTATCCAAGAATGTAAGTAATATGGCTGTGCGCAGATAAACCGTTGTTATATTTTCCCTAACGGGGTGGTTTCTTTTAATGGCAGATTCAAATTTTCAATTTTATAGCTAGATTTTTTTTTTTAATTATTTATTTACAGTTTGTACATTATATCATGTCTGTAAAGTGCTAGGGGTCGTCTGAAATGAAAGCCTCTGCATCCATGTAAGATCATTATTGCTAGCATCCGTTCAGCAAGAACAATACAATCAAATTGCTGAATGTTACATGTCTTTTTTCCCCAAACGCAGTTGCTGCTTAGTTTGTGCCAACGATTTCATCTCATGTGAGCAGCTCTGTAGTTATAGAAATGACAGAAGCAATTGCCATGTGCGCATCTTTCTTTGTTGTTGCGTGTTTCAGGTGAGAATATGGAGTATGTGGAGACCCTGTACCAGTGGGAAATAACCAGCTTCTCCTTTTCTTTCACTTTCCAGGAATAGTTTTGGATTCTGGGGATGGTGTCACACACAATGTGCCTATCTATGAGGGCTATGCCTTGCCTCATGCCATCATGAGGCTCGATCTGGCAGGCAGAGACCTGACTGACTATCTCATGAAAATTCTTACGGAGAGAGGCTACTCTTTTGTCACCACTGGTAATGAGCTGTGTTTTGGATGCACTTCGCATACGTTTGCTCTGTTGGTTGTCTTATTACGCAGGAAGCGTGTACCTGGCGAGATGCATCAAAATCCCTATCGCTAGGTTGGCCTGGGAAAAACAGTTCACGATAGCTAATGGGGTTTTCCTGACTTTGGCTTTCAGCGTATATTTTGAGCATCAAGGACGAGGATGCCGCCTCGTTAGGAAATCCTGAGTCACTGACAAATATAATTGGTTGTTGCGTTTGATCATACCTCTTCCACGGGCAAAGGAACAAAGTTAGTAGCTGGTAATGGATGAACCTCTGGAGAGTTGATCAAGGTTTTGGGACATAAACATGTAAACGTTAATCTTTACAGTATTCTGTAGTACAATATATCTTTTATTTGTCGATGAGGGAAATTTGGCAATGCAAAGGGAAAGTAAAGTTGTTGAGGCATTGAGAGGTCAGAACCCAATGAACTGTACGACCGTCATGAACTCGGGGAAACGTGCATGAGAAAACCTGTGTCCTGGCTGTCATACTGTATGTTGATTTAAAAACTTGTTTGGCTGTCTGCAGCGGAACGGGAGATTGTGAGAGATGTCAAGGAGAAGCTCTGTTATGTGGCTTTGGATTTTGAAAATGAAATGGCAACTGCTGCTTCCTCCTCCTCTCTTGAAAAGAGCTATGAGCTTCCTGACGGACAAGTCATCACCATTGGGAATGAACGGTTCCGATGCCCAGAAACTCTCTTCCAGCCATCCTTCATAGGTGGGACAGGACTTTTCTTTCTAGGGACTTGACAGAGAATGAAAAGAAGAATTTCTTAGGAAGTATAGACGACCTTCAGCTGTAAGAACTGAGGCATTTACCCTCAAATGTCCTTAGAAACATGCAGCTTCTATTGACTTAATCAGTTCTTTAGAAGCTATGAACGCTGCTGCTACAGCTGCTGGGCAAAAAGATGCCTGTCAGTTTAGAAATACCTGAATTCTAAGATGGTTTCAACCTCTTATAAACGCAGTAGAGTTTCTAAGATGATGTTTTAGAGTACTGTCAGAAGATCATGCTTTTTATCTTGACTGGCTGATATATAACTGCACAGTGCTGCTTATGTGGGTTTTTCATCCAGGTGCTGCTTCCTTTTATCATTTTACTATATTAATCTGTAATTCAATCATACAAAATCAAATCGTGCATTATTTTCCAGTAGTTTTATCTGTAGTGTTAAAATTCCCATTCTATCCGGAGGATGACCGACACTTTATGTGGTAACTCGTACTGCCCTCGCAAATTTTCTACTTTCCACTTAAATTCCACTCTTGAGGACTGAGTAAAATGGCTGCAGGCAGTTTGGCACGATTTCCGTTAAACTAAATGGTGAAGCTAGCTCCATATGCTTGTATGTAGAAAGGAAACTATTCAAGCATTAATATAGCTCCGAGTTCTGTATTTGAACATCAGCAGGAGTGATGTTCAAATGTTCTGTATTTGAGCATCAGCAGGAGAAATTCTCTTTAGTGATAGAGGGATTTGGCTGCCAGAAGCGTATCAGGGATCAGAGCTGGTGCTCAACAATGGTCGGTATCAGAAACGTAGCGATGGAAATGAGGATTTCCTGGATCACAGATCTTTGTCAAAATGTGCGTGTTAAGCTAGTTAAAAAGTCTAGTACTTACAGACCTAGGAATACAGTTTGAACTTTATCTGGTCTGTTCCGTTTCTTTAGCAAAATATAGTACCATAAGTGAACTTCACTGTACTGGCATTCAAATTAAACCAACACCTCAAAAGCAAGGTAGCTCACTGAAATGCCAAGTGGGCTTCTATTTTTAGCTAACAGCATCATAAAAGATTATAAAAATGGCAAACTATTGCAGTAACACCTCATTTTAAATTTTTCCTTAAATAATGTTAATTTTTTTTTTTCCGTGAGGAAATAAAAATACCCAGTATGAAATCATAATGGGGATCTTTCTTCTGCCCAAGTGTATTTTGCTTGTATAATTACTATGCTGAGATTACAAAGAAGGTGAGGAGTATGTCCTGTCTTTCTCCTTCCTCTCCTAAGCATCGCATAGCTGCTTTTTTTTTTTTGAGTTTTTTTAAGGGAGACAGCTTGGACTAGTGAGCCTTCCTTTCATTTTAACAGTAAGAAAAAGAAAGGGACAAAGAGGAAATAACATGTCGAAACTTCTTTCCACTCAGGGATGGAATCTGCAGGTATCCACGAAACCACTTACAACAGTATTATGAAATGCGATATCGACATCCGTAAGGATCTCTACGCTAATAACGTCCTCTCTGGAGGAACCACAATGTATCCTGGGATTGGCGATCGTATGCAGAAAGAGATTACAGCTTTGGCTCCAAGTACGATGAAGATTAAGGTAATTTTGAACACCTGCACTTACAAAAGAAGCTTTTGTTGGAAAGTTAGATCGTATAAACAAATCAAAATGTCCAGGTCTTGCATCCCAAGTCCTGACGTTAGGAGAGCCTCGGACAGCCTGCTTAATTAATACCCCTTTTCCTCCTACCAGCCAAAGCAGAATTAAAAGAGGGATTTGGGAGGTACTGGCATAAAAATGGTTGCTGAAGCCATGGGAGTTGATGAGGTCATTTTGAGAAAATGTGAAACAACAATTAAGGAAGAGAGTCCTGTGGGATTCCCAGTGGATAGGGCTACAAGGGAGAAAAGGGGTCCTTGAAAGACACCACAGAACAAGAGAGGTAGGGATGAACCTAGAGAAGATGGACCTGTAAATACTAAACGGGGCATGAACAACTTGAGAGGATACTGGGAATATTATAGGCTTCAAGGCTTAGCTATCAGTGAAAGTCATTAGTGAAATGAAATTAGTGTGTTATGGGCCATCTGCAGATATCTCATGGGTTGCCGTTTTTGTCTGCTCCTAGTAACATTATAGCGTCTCTATTGATTTGAGGTGGAAGGCAAAATACGGCAGCCGTTCCACCTCTTAGCTGCTTTACTTTGGAGTTCTGCTTCTATGATGAAGAGGCTTTCACCTAGTTATTTCATCCAAAGAGATGTTTACTGTGTTATCTGCTTGTCACTTTATTTACAACAGATTGCACTTCTCTTCTAGATGATTGCACCACCAGAACGTAAATATTCTGTCTGGATTGGGGGTTCGATATTGGCATCTCTGTCCACTTTTCAGCAAATGTGGATCAGTAAAGATGAATATGAGGAAGCTGGCCCTTCTATTGTCCATCGCAAGTGCTTTTGAATACTTCCATCATGTACTGTCAGTGTTAAGTAGTGCTGATTCTCTACACATCACCTGCCCTCGTTCACCTCTGAGGGTGGCTTGGCTTTCTTCCACATGTTTAAAAAAAACCACGCTGTATGGATGTCATACGAATTAGCAAATTGCTTCTAAGTTTTGATGCTAAAATGAGACTAATGTTTCAGTGATGGGTGTTTTCCAAGATTAATAACAGTAGTTATACTAGACACTTTTATAGACCTCCCTCCCCCCCCATTTGTAAGTGGTGTACTGCTGTCCGGGAGGTGACACACAATGCTGCTGTGTCTCTGCTAATCGATGGTAAGTCTGGAGCGTGCACGTAAGTGATTCTTTCAAACGCAAACGTAATGCAAGGTTTAGGTACCAGAGAAGGCTTATTTTACGCAGTTAACTGGTACACGGGCTTCTTCTAAGGGGGTTTATTTTACTGAAGATACAGCGGATTTATGTGGGTACTGATGTGCACATGGGTACCAAAAATTTCCGTAGAGCTTGTATGGATGCTTTCCTTGGTATCCTGCAGTTGTTTGGCAGGAGACTTTTGTCTCCCTGTGACCACCGCTCCCCATCAGTAAAGAGCTTCCACAAGCCACAGTACTTCTGAACTTACTTGTAACAGGTTAATTTATTGGATGTATTATTGCTTTCTTCATCTCTCTTCCTAAGCAGTTAACTGATGTTTCATTTACTTTTGCTATATGTGTGCTATGCTAAGCTAATGATTACAGAGTAAATAATAACCTTTTGAATATGTTTTTGAAATACTCTGGGTTTAATGGATCAATAAAAGTGTAATTATCCATGTATGGCTGCTGTGGCTTACATTAATTTCATAGTGAATAGTTTATCTGTTAAAGATAAAATAATAATTACTAACATATTTTAATTTTATTATGAAAAAGGTTTCATTCCCTCTAAGTTTTCTGGCTAAGCAATGTTTAAATGAAAACAGAATTGTTTCACAGTTTCTATTAAAAAAAAGAGTATCTTCCTGGATGACAAATTGTCATAGTGTTCTGCGTGAAGATTAGAATCAGCTAGGAAGACTTTACTGTTTCAGATACCAGGCAAGTGTGTTCTATATGATTCTGGATGCTGCAGACTTTGAACTGATGTGATGTCAGGCTTGATGTGCATTTCATGATTTAAATCCAACCTGTCAAGTTCTTGCCAGTAAACACAATACCCTCTTTCCAAAGATGGGGAAAAGATACGAGTTGGATTTACGGACTTCTGAAAATGTATCTAGGGGATGTTTTAATGAATCTTCTTACTACAGCGAGTTTCGACTGAGGGTGATCTCATTTCCGTATCCAAATGATCTCTTAATGGTAAAAGCTGAAAGACCTATAAGGGAAGGATTCTTCAAAGGTCTGCTGTGGCTTGCACTACCTAGTAAGTAAAAGAGATTGACCTTACCTTCGTTCCCACTTGTGGACAGCAGTCAGTTCTAATTGCCAGTTTCCATGTCTCCTCAAGCAAATGTAAATCATTGCAAATTTCTCAGCCTCTGAATGAATTTTACTTTTTAAGTTTATTATCTTAGTCTCAGCTTATATGGTTGCTCGCCGCTTAAGTTGATAATGAATCACCTTACATACAGGAATAGCACTGTTAACTGGCCTTATCGCCTGCCGAAGAAACATAGATTTTAATCTTGACCTCTTGTAGGTGTGATGTTCAAGAGCGTAACCCTAGGTACTCAGATCTCTGGAAGTGAGTTGCATTTGCAATCCCCTGTAGTATCAAAGCCAAAATTCCACTCAGTTTGCTAATAATCTACTTGTCCTTGTTTCAATATTAAAAATGAAGGATCTTTAGATTTTCAATTTTCTTTTTAATATATCCTTTCAGTACATATGTACAGCTTGTTAATCAGGGGGGAAAAAAAAAAGTAAATGTTTAAAAGCATGTATTTTTTTGTAAGTGGCAAGGGAGGTACACGTTTACAGCATTTGCATATACCTGAAAGAGTTCTTTGGGCTTTTCTTCTTCCCTCCCTTCCCCAGGTCTCCTTCCCTCATCCTCCACAACAAAATTCTCTTCAGTCCTTGGTTGGCATCTCTAGCTCCTGGCACAGCTGGGGCTGAGACGCGAGCTCTCAATGGTTAGAATATGAATCCTCATCCCGCAGCTGACTCCTTTTTCAGTGTGGAAAAGCATGATTATGCTCTGAATACCTCCCTAACAATCTGCATGTGGAATCCTATTCAAAATTAACATGCATTTTGAAAATAGAATTAATTATGCGCTAAGAGCAAATACAGATAAAAATAAGTAAAACTGTTAAGCTGTTTGTGTGATTCGGCAAACCTCTGCTCCTCTGAGAGGAAACTGCCTTAGCCGCCATGCAAGTCCTGCTTTTCTATATGTGGTTGTACAGAACGCCATAGCAGTTGGAACCGAGAGTAGGGAATACCCATAGCCGAGAAAACAGTTCACAGCTTTCTCCAAACACTCACCTGGTGTTCCCAACTACTCCTTGGTTACCATTTCACTTTAAGATTATCTTTAAACCCTTGGAGGTGTTAACATTTATACTCGGTCATACCTGTGCATGCCTTACTCTGTAATCTGATGTGGAAAACTAGTATGGCTGACGATAAGTATCCTAAATTTGAAAGAGCTTCTACAGACCACGTCTGTGTAACATCAACAGTGCCACCAGTGCCAAACATTCAGAAGTCACCTCGTTCTGGAGAATGGCTCTGCGTTTCAGTTTTCTAATTTAGTAGGTTTTGCGTGCTTAATATTCACTCAGGTTTTCTTCCCTACAGCCATACAGGCTATAAATATCTTCTTTAAAAAACCAAACCAACCAAATTCCTCTCAACTGTAGAAGTTAGGGCTCAGAAGACACCTCCCCACTGAACTAATGTATCTTGAGGTTCATGATAAATCATGGCTTTACCATATCATATCAAGTAGACCTCATGGGCAGAGGTAGCCCAGAAATTTTTTATCTTAAGAGCAGATGAACTTGATAGAGAAAGAAGAAAGATCGTTTTCTACAATGAGACTTTTAGGTAAGAGCTATATGTACCTTTAATAGATACTATTGTTTCTGTAAATAACATCAGCTTGTGGATGAGACACTCCAAAAGTAGAACACTTATCTTCTCAGAAATGTAAGACAGCAAATCGAAGGCTACAAATAACTCTTTGTATGGCTGTCGGCGATCTACTTTGTTCAGTCCACGATGGTGATTTAATCACATTTTTCTAAAGAGCAGGTAGACTATTACCAAGAGAGTTTGCATCACTATTTTACTTCAAGGTAAGTGTATCAAGGTTGTCTAACTAGAAGTTACCTTAAATCATTAAAATATTTGTGTCTTTGGAGCAGAAATAAGAGTTACTGTTAGAAACTCTCAAGGTGAAAGGAAATTCAACAGCTTGCTCCCTACGGGCCAAGAGCGTATCATAGTCTCACTACATGCAAACTGATACGATGCAAAAGGAAGCGTGTTGCATTGGTCAGAGTTTGGGGCTGTCTTGGAAATAGCATCTTGCAACAGAAATACTAATGGTGATGCCTGTTCTTCGCCAGTTTTTTTTCTAGTTACGAAGATGTAAACTGTTCTGCATCAAGAGCGTGCCTTTTCCTGCTGGCCAAAGCTGTCCGGTGGGGAGCATAAGGTAAAGGGCAGGGACCTACTCCTCTTCCCAAAGGAGAATCCTCAGCTACATTTGGATGGTTTGGGCAAAGAGTCTTCTCCAGCTTCAACAGTGAGCCATGTTCATGCTGTGTCTTTGTTTTTTGAAGGTACAATTTTATTCAGTATATTTGCAAGGTAAAATTCTTAAAATTCTCACCATGTGTTTTGGCTAATGCCACATCCTTTTATTTGACCTTTATTAATGCAATCTTGTATCTTTTCAAAATCTGCTCCCTGAAAGATCATTTTCCTAGCCGGTGTCTGGTTATTTTACTTCTTTCCTTTATCCAAGAAATGTATGCCTTCACGTTCAAGACTCTTTCATAGCTTTAATCTGCTTCAAATGGTTGACTTATGCTTCTGATCAGCTTCTCTTTCAAATCAAGCACACTGTTGCTCCCCCCCCACCCCCACCCCGTGGAGCAGCTCCCTATAAACATCATCTTCATAACTTCAGTTCTTCTATATGCTTCTATAAACCTTTAGAAGGCCTTGATGCCTCTGAATCCTAACCAGAATTAGAAGCTCAGATGGTTTTCTATCAAACGTTGCCCTGCCTTTTGCCACCTCAACGTTATCCCTTTTCTTAGATTAAAAAGCTCTCGCGAACAGGAACCGATTTTTGGGTTTTGTCTTTGTACAGCACCTTTTGTAATCAGGTTTTTGGCCTCAGTTGGGCAGCTGTGCCGTGTAGGTGTATCAGACTTACTATGTGCTTCTAGACTGTCCTTTCTGTGCTCCTTAACCTTGCTGAAGTGGCCCAGTTCTTTCACCTGCTCAGTTTCTTTAACAAGCAATAGTATGAAATAGCTCTGGGTGTGTGAAGCATTGTGTTTGAATACAATTCTTAAAAGTAAGGGTGCTCTTAAGTAAGAATAAGAGTATTTTTCAGACTGAAATTTTTTAGGACTGGTGTTGTACCAGATATATATGGTGTCCTTGTATAGCGTATGAGGTTCATCTCAGAACCCTGCTGCTTTCAGACTGTTCAGGAAGCTGTCTCCTATGTCCTTTAAAATTTTCCAAGTTTTTCTGAACTTCACAGTTGCTTCTTTTTAATTTAGTAATAGCTGTATAATGATAAGCTTTCATTAACGTTCTCAGAATTGCTTTCCTGGAAACGTTAAATAACGTGTCACTTCAAAGCACCCCCTTCTCCTGTATTCCCCTTAACAAAGAAAACTTTGTCACCATCATTTAAATGTTATTTCTTCTAAAGGAAGGAAAATCTATCCAATGCAAGAGTAAGCCGATATTCCCCCTCTCACATTTTTCCAAGGGGAAATACCTTCTTTTCATAGGACTAACTTGTAGGGGAGAATATGCGTTCATATGAAGGTTACTGACTTCCATAGATACAAACTAGCAGAGCTGCAGTTGCTTCTGTGGACGTAATTTATTAAATCCACTGAATATTTGACACCCAGCTTTTAAAAGTGAATGCTATCTTGCAAGTGATTTCTGAGACTTCAGTCTCCTGTAACACTGCCTTTCAACTCTGCATTTCACATCAGCGGTGCTTTCCTGTTAAATGATATGGGATCCGAGGTGAAACACTTGCCATCAGTTATGTCACAGATCTTGGATGTTTACTTGTAAAATACAAGCAGCATTCTGAAGGTTTCTTTGGGGGGCTTTTCCAAGTTAGATGTTGCATCTTTGAAATAGTATTTTCTTGGAACTATAAACTAGGAAGCTAGTGAACTCGGTATTAGGGCTTTGCTGACATTCGAAGAATCTCTAAATTCTTGGAGTTCAGAGTCAGAGGCACATTTTTTTTTAAAACAAGAAAATCTGTTTTAAAAAGCAGTAGCATTTTGGAGACACAAAATATGCGAGCACTTGGGTAGCTCCAAATTTCAAGGTAAAACAAGGGAAATGGAAAATCCCGAAACTAATCGTTAACCTTTGATCAAAATGATTGTTGGTCATTTTAATTGGGGATGGTGGGCTTCAGAAAGCAAGTGACATCTGCTTTACCTCATGTATGCAGAATAGGGAGGGAAGAGAGAAAAATGTATAATGATGAAAGCAAATCACCTTTGTAGAAAGCTTTTTGAAATCACTGGGGATGCCACACTTGAGATGAACTGACCCTTTTGTCTATCTGGAAAGCTTTTAATGAAAGAGGAGAAG